CATAAGTCATGTGTTCCAGCCCCCTAATCAGTTTTGTTGCCCTCCGCTGGACTCTTTCCAATTTTTCCACATCTTTCCACATCTTTCTTGTAGTGTGGGGCCCAAAACTGGACATAGTACTCCAGATGAGGCCTCACCAATGTCGAATAGAAGGGAACGATCACATCCCTTGATCTGCTGGCAATGCCCCTACTTATACAGCCCAAAATGCCATTAGCCTTCTTGGCATCAAGGGCACACTGTTGACTCATATCCAGTTTCTCGTCCACTGTGACCCCTAGGTCCCTTTCTGCAGAACTGCTGCCTAGCCACTCGGTCCCTAGTCTGTAGCAGTGCATGGGATTCTTCCGTCCTAAGTCAGGACTCTGCACTTGTCCTTGTTGAACCTCATCAGGTTCCTTTTGGCCCAATCCTCTAATTTGTCTAGGTCCCTCTGTATCCTGTCCCTACCCTGCAGCGTATCTACCACTCCTCCCAGTTTAGTGTCATCTGCAAACTTGCTGAGAGTGCAGTCCACGCCATCCTCCAGATCATTAATGAAGATATTGAACAAAACCGGCCCCAGGACCGACCCCGGGGCACTCCACTTGAAGGCAATTAGGTAGTCAGGCATGACTTGCCCTTGGTGAATCCATGCTGACTGTTCCTGATCACTTTCCTCTCCTCTAAGTGCTTCAGAATTGATTCCCTGAGGACCTGCTCTTGAGGTTTAGTGCTCTTTATTTATAAATGAAATATTCTGAACATAGTATGTATTGTTCGTTTATTATATATTAATATTATGAAGGAGAGAGAGAGAGAGAGAGAAATATCAGTAGTAATGTTTTAGCAAATTTTAGGCTCCAGCTGAACTGTGGTTTGTATCCAGGGCCCTCGTTCTTCAAACACTCACACAGTTGCATAACTTCAAACACCCAAGCAGCCCTATGGACTTTAATTTACTACTCATGGGAGTACAGTCAAGCACACGTGCAAAGATTGCGAGATAGGGGACTAGATTTGAAAATATGTGTGAAAATTTTGAGAAATTTTGTTTTTGATTTGACCTGAAACAGTTTTTTCCAGAATTGCCAGCAAACCCAAATCTGTTATGCACCCAGCTGTATTTACAGCCAACTACAGTATATCAAGAGGCATCACAGTTTTGTTCTAAGAAAACCATTACCAAGGCCATATTGTAAATCATATTTGTCATAGTATGTTGTAAATTTAATTAAAATATAACTCCATCTCTCTCTAGAGAAGTGAGAATTTCTGTGCAGGAGGAATTCTTGGGTAAAGAGAGTGCTTAAACATAAGGATATACAAGTAAGCAGCCTGTGTCATGAAAGAAACATGATTTGTATGCCTTGCATAAAGGCCTCTTCCTGAGTATGGCAGGCAGTAATTGTAACTGTTCAGCTTTTCCTCACAAATGCTTTTAATAAATACAAGATGGGAAGAGAAGTCATTGGTTTAGACATTTTAGGTAGCAGCTATGTAACTCATAATAGTTAGTGAATGGGAGAGGAAGGCCCAGATCCACAAAGGTATTTAGGTTTCAATTGCAATCAATGGAAGAGAGGCGCCTAAATAGCTTTATGGATCTGGGCTTGTAAGTGACCAAGTTGCTCACATGCTCATAAGAGCTATTATAATTCACTGACCATACTGATAGTTCTCACAGATTGTAGTTTGGCATTTCTTTATTCAGTTATCAGTCCTGCACTGAAAGCCTCTAGGGTGGTTCCATTGACTTCATTGGGGCTCTGCTTGGATTCCCCTGTGCGGTTCTCATTGCAGGATTGAGGCATAAATATGCATGTCTGAAATGACTCCTTGTGCTAGTTAGATAATTTGCTCCTTCAGCTTTTTCCTCAACAATAGCAGAAACCAGTTTAGAATCCGATCCTAAAGGGGGTGAGCACCTGCAACTCAATTTCAGAGTCTAGTTTCTGTCTGGCAACTGTTGGTTAGGAAAAACTAAGAGACTTGTGCATTTTAATAATTGTAGTTTGAATTCTTGTCTAGGGCACATGCAGGCCTGAGTAGGCATTCTTTAGCTTTCTGAGCATGTGCTTATCTAAGTCTAAGGAAATCAAATAAGTAAACTTCCATTTGACATCAATAGGACTTGTGGACACTCAGTGCAGACTGCCTTACATGAAATCACCCCAAGAGTCTGGCAATTCGTCCATTAACAGATTGATATGTTCAGATTTTCATAATTAAAGGATACTAAAAACATAACAAAACATAAGAAACACACAAAAATACTACATTGATCTAATGTTGTTTTGGACTTAAATGAATGAAGTGTGGATATTTGCCTTTTAGGATCAAATCTGCAATACCTATACACAATTGGGTGTCACCTTAATGTTGTTCTGTTATGCTTTAGGAACTGGAGATTTGATCATTAACTATAAATTCATATGCTGTTACTTGTTTGCCACAACAGTATAAGTAATAAATAGATATGGATATACACAAAATGTTTTATATGTCAGAAAATAGCTTGCAGAAATCATTATAAATGTAACAATAAGGCTGAAGTGCATTTTGTTTTGTTCCTAATAGATCTTCAGTGTAGAGATGTTAAGTTGCACAGTGCAGTCAGGATTGAATTTAATGCTATAATGATGGAAAGGTGTTTTTGCTACACCATTTGGACTCCAGGAAAATAACTTTTCAGCTACTGTAGTTTTTCATTCCTTGATATCCATTCCATGTAGATGGCAATATGCAGTATATAATATATATGCATTTGTAATATTTGAGGTTGCATTTCATGTAGAGAGAATGTTTTTTTCCTAAGAGCCACTGCATCAGTAGAAAGGCTTCAAAATTATACTCAAGAAATTTATGAAGTAACAAATTATTATTATTTTATGTCATTTTTCATTCCCATGTCTGGATGACTTTGGCTACTGTTGAGAGCTTAATGTTCTTTTTCAAGCCTTTACTTTTTTTAAACCAGAGAACTGTTATTACTTAAATGACAAACATTTACAGTACATCTGTTCAATATTTCTTTTAGCATTCATTGTCAGGTGTGCAAATCTGTTAACTCAGAAATAGCTTAGAATGAGGGATTATTTTCTGATTGTATGTTAGAATAGGTTATCTTATTTTTAGAAATATTGGCCAAACATTTTCATAGCATCATGTCATTTATACCACCATTGGATCATCATAAATACCTGGTAGATGTTAGGATCACCTAATATTTGTTCTCCCTTGTTGTTACTGACAAAATAGCAGTCTTTTGTGGAGACCCTGGTTACTAATACAGCTATGAGAGAAAAAATTGTTGCCAGCAAAAATGGTACCATCCGAATGGAAACAAATAGAATAAATTGTAAATTATTACATCTTTACCCTCTTTACAGAAGGAAAACAAAAACAACAACCCCAAACCTATTTCTAACACAAACATTGTTTTTGCAGCAAAATGGAAGGTGTTTTCACTTGCAAAAATGTGTTTTTGTTTTAATGTGAAATAGAGAAAAGTTGAAAGCAAAACACGGTGTTTTGCTTTCACCAAACTGGTGAAATTATGATTGTTGTCATAAAGAAGTCCGTGACCAGTGATGAACAAGGTGACATTTTTGTCCTTGACCAAATCCACTGATTTTCATAAGAACTTTTATTTTTATTCATGACAATTGATTGTTTCATACTGCGTTAGCTGCTAGTGACTTGCTTAAATCCTGACCCTGCACTGTGATCTACCTGAGTGGAGAACAGTTGAGGTTAATGGGATAGTGGTATATGGTCCAAATACAAATCTGGATCCTGTATTTCAGCAAAAAACACCATTTATAACCTATTTTTAAGGTTTAAAAATTATTCTTTAAAACTCCCTAACATGAGAAAACCTTAGGTGTCACTGTTGGGATCCTGCACTTCTTCAGATTACATTACTCCTGGACTGTATCACCTTCACAATGAAGTGTTTCAGAAGATCTAGGACTGGAGTGAAGGCTATTAGGGAGCTTGTTCTTAAGGAGAAAGTAATTACGGTAAATAATATTTTAAAAACCCCAACAAAAATATAAGGCCTGAAAACCCTGAGGTACAATGATTTGGTGCCCTTCCTGACTGTGTGTGCCATAAGACAGGCTCTCAGTGAATTTCTTGCCTAGTATTCTCAAAATGTATATAACCATGGTGTCTTAAAATTCCACCTGTGCTGCAGAGAGTTTCCAAAACTGCAGGATTTATTCCATTGGATAACGTTGAGTTTAAGGATCCTTTCCTGTAGAACAGTTAAAATGTAAAGGGTCTAATTAGCTCCAATTCCTGCTTCTGTCACGGAAAAAAACATAAATAATGCCTCTGAGTTTGTGTTTATTCAGCGATTAGTAATTTAGACTTTTTATTGACAACCCAGATGGTTAAATGATTAAGACAACTTAATTAAAAATGCTGTAATAGCAATTGGAAAAATTCAGTGTATGGTTCCCATGAAAGGATTACAAGTTTGCTATCTCATTCCTCTAACCACAATATTTACTGTTAATCATTGTCCTGCTTACCCACCACTGGAAAAGAAGTTTTGAAGGCAGGTTAACTGTCAACCCACAGGTATTTTCTAGGCTAAATGTAATCCTGTGACAAAATGACGAGCCAAATTCTCAAGAGGTGTAAATCACTGCTATGCCAATTTACCCCAGTTGAGGATCTGGCCTGATATTTCTTTTAAGTTTTGGATACAGTGAATGACAAACACATAGGTAACTTGCACCAGGTGTCATCATGTTTAAGCTTTGAGTTGCATGGAATCATTGCTGATTTTTGCAAGTGGTTAGAAGAGTTAGACACTGCCTCTGGACACGATAATTTTTTTGGCTGAACTGTTTCCTCCAATCAAACTGGTATCTTGTTTTCCTTGTCTGTTTTGCCATAGGTTTATTAAGTTAAGTATTAATAAATTAGTTCAGAGTTTCACCTCAATTAATTAGTTTTGCTTTTTTTTTGTGTGTGCGCGCGCGCATGCAGGTGGCGTTTGCATCGCTCAGTCGCTAAAAATCCCCCGTGAACCAAGACTGGGAGAATTTGACAAGATCATCAAGCGCTTGTTGGAAACTCCTAATGCTCGAGCAGTGATCATGTTTGCAAACGAGGATGATATTAGGTGCTTGTTTTCTTAATTTTTTATGTTGAAGAAGTCACCTCTTTGCAGAAAGTCCCTTTCTGGGAGCCCGTGTCTGATTTCCTAACAGATTTCAGATTTCAATCTAATGTAAGGTTGCTATTATGCCGTATGCTATGCCACTGCTCCACAGAGACCCCAAAACTTCTTAGTTACTAAGCATGAAAATGCTGTATATTGTAACTTGAGGACTGAAAGAGATGAAACATGTAAGAATGATAGACAGAATAATATGTTTAAGGGTAAGGATGAGGCAAATTAATATTTACCGTACTGTAGCTTGAGTGCTGAACTCTGTCTTTTGAGAAATATGCTTTAGACTGTCAGAACAATTGACTAATTGGTTAAAGACAGGCTATTTATGTATAGCCAGAACCAATGCTGCAGGGGGACTCTAGTCAGTAACATTTCTTGGTAAATGCGTTATATCTAATTAGTTGTTTGTTTATTTGCAGGCGAATATTAGAAGCAGCCAAAAAAACTAATCAAACTGGACATTTTCTTTGGATTGGCTCAGATAGTTGGGGGTCAAAAATTTCACCTGTTTACCAACAGGAAGAGATTGCCGAAGGAGCAGTCACCATTCTGCCCAAAAGAGCTTCCATCGATGGTAAGAACTTATAGTAATGACACAAAAGACACACTTTAAGATTTATATTTAGTTGATGAGAATCTCCCATTTACTTCATGCGGTATTGAATGCAATGCAGACCTCCATGGGAATTGAGGGCACTTGGCACCTTGCAAGATTGGGCCTTTACAATATATTGATGTTGAACTGGAGAGTTTATTGACCACCTGCATTGCATTTTCTTCAGCTATAGTATTTCACAGCAGCATTATCAATTTGGTTTCATCAAATAATTGCTATAGCAATTTCAAGAAATTTTTTTGTAAAACAAATATTAATAGCAAATGTAGTTATTTTTATTTCCCAAATACCACTTCATTCTTTTAAAAAATCTGTATTCAGGTAGTTTATATCACAAGATATGCATTGCATTCTTGTTATGCAATCCAAACAGATCCACCAAAAACTTATAAATATATTCTTCTGCATCCTGTGTCATATTTTTATGTTTTTAAAAAAATTTTGTTTAATTTTAGGATTCGATAGATATTTTCGGAGCCGTACCCTTGCTAATAATCGAAGAAATGTGTGGTTTGCAGAATTTTGGGAGGAGAATTTTGGATGCAAGTTAGGATCACATGGAAAAAGAAACAGCAATATCAAGAAATGCACAGGTAACACACTAGAATAAAAAATTTCTTCAAATTCTTTGTAATCCATTACAGGACAGACTGGTAAGAAACTTGCTTGGTCCCTTGAGTGGTTGCTTTCATTGTATTCTTATACCAATCTCATTCCACCTTGAAATATAAATTCTAATACCTTCTTGTCTATACTGGAGTCTGCAAACTCTTATTAGGGTGTTGCTTTAGTCACATGTTTGTTAGCCAGCCTTATAACATGTCTCACTTTAAGAGAGCACCATATCTTTTACCCTGTGGAACTTACAAGATTTGAAGACTGCACCAGCAGCGATTGCTACACCTGCAAAGAAAATGTGATGAGTTTCAGCAAAGGCAAAAGGAGGCCTGTTGGGGAGCAAAAGGGGGTATTTAATTTATCTAAAGATGGTTCAGGTTTGGGTAAATATTTGAACTGAAGTTCAGACTGTGTCTTATTTTTCACTGAACTACTGTTTCAAATATATACTGTTTCAAACAATATATATTTGTCTACCTATGCTCTTAATGAAAATGAAGACAAAACTGATGTTCTTTTCGCGCTTGACACATGTAAGCTATGAGTAAGATTACTTGTCTTATTCACTCTTGGTCAGATCCTGAAGTCCTTACTCAGTTTATATACTGTGTTTAAGGACTGAGTAAGAACTGAATAAAAAGCTCCCTGTGGGAAGGAAATGGTCATTCTCGGATATACTCTTGTGAACACTGAACAAAAAACTTGATGCATCTAGTGCATGATTCTAATTTTAACCAGGGACTATTAGCTCAGGTGTCCCAGCTCATCACATTTATGAATTTGAAGCACCACAAGTTGGTCTCTGAGATGCACAGGATACAGGCTATCCATGTTTTTATAAATCCAAATGGAAACAAATTGGGAGCCAGTGCAGTTTATGGAGCACAATTGTAATGTGCTCCATGTGTAAATTATTGCTACAGTACCCCTCACATTCTGCATTCTAACAGAATTGCTCTTTTTTTAAATTAATGGAGATATCCTATCTCCTAGAACTGGAAGGGACCTTGAAAGGTCATCAAGTCCAGCCCCCTGCCTTCACTAGCAGGACCAAATACTGATTTTGCCCCAGCTCCCTAAGTGGCCCCCTCAAGGATTGAACTCACAAGTCTGGATTTAGCAGGCCAATGCTCAAACCACTGAGCTATCCCTCCCCCTCCTAAGCAAAAGGTGGAATGAAGTATCCTTGGACACCAATATTGTCTACGCATCCTGAAACAGACAAAGATCTAACAGGGCCCCTAGACTATGGACATTTTTAGTTATAACTCCTGGTTATACATATCAAGGGGCAGAAATCTCCTCTTTGGCCAGACACTGGGAATGCTGAATGACCAGTCCATCTGGATCTGATGAGTCACAGAACAGCTTCCTGGTGGCACTGCAGCCCACACTATTTCATTCTCTCATTATGGCCTCCCATGCACAATGCAGAAAAAGTATGACAGACTAGAATCTTGTGTTACCCCCCATAAGAGAGCCCTTGAGGGAATGAATCATAGCACATTACTATATTCTAGGTCCTCTCAGAGACTAAAGAATAGAGTACCTGAAGCATGACTTCATCTAGGCCTTTTCAGGTCCAGAGATGTGTTAACAATACCTCATGGTCAAGTGTGTTCTGATACAATGGTGGTAAATGTTAAAGCAGTAAAAGCAGCTAATGTCTTAAACCAAGTTTTATTTTAGAATCAGAATATCAAAGGAAAATATATGAACACAACTTTTGCAAAACTACAATTTTGAAAATCTTTGGATAGCTTTTACCTAGATCCCTTGTCCCTCCTCCCCCAGCCCAAAGTTAGGATTTCAGTTTCTTCCCTTTGGAACTATTCCCTGTTCACATTGGTCTTGCCTTCGATAGAAACTTTCCCCCTCTTGTTTTTCTGCTAGCTGTCCCTTCAAATTTGAGATAAGCAGATGCAGCTGCAGTTTGCCATATTGCAAATGTAGGCTGTACATATGTGATCTCTGTCTACTATCCACCAAAGGGACCAGCCCAGTCTCTGTGCCACGCCAATGCCCAGTGCTACATTGAAAGGGATGGGTCAAGTAAATCTGAGGGCTCTAGATATAGCCAGTGATGCCTCCACACAACCCTCTCAATAATCTTCCTCAACAAAGAAGTTTACCGGCAGGATGATACGTGTCAAGTTTATCAGAAGATGGTTTTGCTATCAGGCCTTTGATCATTCTCTCTTTTAAGAGATGTGAGTGCTTTGTTCTTCTGAGGGGAAGCATCTATATTCTCCACCAATAATGAAATAAATGTTCCCACACTATTTTAACAACCCAAGTGGGGTTTGGCCCTGTTATCAGCTCACAGCCTGAAGTACCTAGAGAGAGACACCGACTTTCTAATGTACCAGGGGGTGCTTGACCCCTGCTCTGACCCAGGCCCTGCCCCCACTCCATTCCTTCCCTCAAGACCCCATCCCTGCCCCGCCTCTTCCCGCCTCCGCTGTACACCGCTCTTCCTGCCCCATTCTACCCCTCCCCCAGGCATGCCCCATCCTCTCTCCTCCCCCTCTGAGCTGATCCGCGGCAGGCAGTAGGCACTGGGAGGGAGGGAGAGGCACTGATTGGTGAGGCCAATCATCTGTTTGGGTGCTCAGCATCTGCTGTTTTTTTTCCTGTCGGTGCTCCAGCCCGGAGTACCCATGAAGTTGGCACCCAGGCCTCTAGAGTGAGTGAAATTGGATGGAATTCAAATAAGGCTTCAGATTTATATTACATCAGTCTGCTACCAAGGCCTCTGCCAATCTAATCCAAATCCAAATAGTTTGATCCATGAAGTTAATAGAAACCACTTCAGAGTGAAAAAAACTCAACTGTAACCCAGAAAAAGACAAACTGGATTCACCAGGTTTCTACCATTGGAACAGTTCTCCTGATTAGGATTTTCCCTACATAACAATTGTGGTATATAGAGCTGGGTGAAATATTTCAGACAAATAGTTTATTCAACAGCAGTTTTGGCTAACTCCAAAGTAATCGCAAATTTGACACACATTCACTACATAGTTTCAGCCAAATTGTTGGAGCTGTGTTCCCTCTAAGCTGTGCGGTTGGGCGGTCACCCAGGAGTGATTCAAGTGCCGCGCACTTGATTAGCAGAGCCGCACACATCTGGCAGGGTGTGTTCAGGTGTCCTTACCCCCCGCTGCTTTGCAGCCACGTTGCTTCTGCAGCTGCTTCTGGGAACTTCTTGCTGGCTGTGCAGAGCTAGGCGGGAGGAGAGTGCTGATTGTCAGGGTGTCCTCCTCCCCCTGCCTCTGTACCTCATTTCCACAGAGCAGGGGAGACAGGACAGCCTGTCTTAGGACTCGGAGCAGGAGAGAGCTGCTGTGGTCTGAGGTCTGAATCAGCTTTTTAGGTGAGTGAGTGCCCAGTCTCTGAGACTTGCCCAGCAGCCAGCACACACACTGTCTCTTTCTTTCCTCCTCCTCCTCCCCCCAGCTCATGCACCCCATCTCCGCAGAGTCGGGGAGGAGAGACAGAGCTCAGGACGGAGCAGGAGAGCTTTCAGTGAGTGCCTTAAAGAGACAGTGCACAGCGTCTCTCGGAAACCTCCCCAGCAGCCAGCACACACGCTGTTTGTCTATCTAACTCTCTGTCTCTCTCACACACACACTCTCTGTCTCTTTCACACTTACCTCCCAACATATACTTGTATTATTGTTGTTGTTACTTCTTGGTACTTCCTGCAATGCACATATATTCTCTGTAATTTTATTCTTTCAAAGTGTGTTATTTTAGTTTTTTGACTGATCTATGCATTTCATAATTTTTATTTCTCTTACACTTAAATTTAATTCTTTGAGTAGTGAGTTCTAAAATGCTAACCTGTCCTAGCTGAAGTAATTATCCCCATGGTAACTTTTTAAAAATATGTATTATATCTAGGTTTTTTGTTTCTACTGGTGGCGCACATCCGCACATACCTCAGTGCACATAACAAAATGTATTCCGCACATGGATGGAAAAAATTAGAGGGAACATTGGCGAGGGCTAGATTCACAAAGGGACTTAGGCAACATTCACAAAATGGAACCAGGAGGAGGAGAAGGGGATGAGGTGCCCCCTACCCCATAAAATGTAGCCCCCTAGTTAGGGTACTCACCCGGGATGTGGGATACATAGGTTTGAATCCCTGCTCCAATGACTATTTAATTATTAATACAAAATGGAACAACTGCACCAGGAAAGATTGAGAAACCTGTTCTAGAATAGCTAATAGCCTGATGGTTCGGGCACCCCCTCCCCACCTGAAAAGGGGGACACCTGGGTTCAGATCCCTGTTTTAGAGTGGGGATTTGGAGCTGAGTGTCTCATTTCCTAGGTGAGCATCCTAACTACTGTGCTACAGGTTATAAGAAGGTGAAGGAGGCTCTTCCTTTACCACCTGTTCTCCTATTTTGTGAATGTAGACCTTCATTAAATGCCTGGGAACAAAATTTTTTGGGGCAATGTGTTTTGCTTGACCTAAAATTAATTTTTAAAAACTTTTTCAAGTTGCTGAAAATTCCAAAGAAATTTGATTGTTTGACTCAAAACAAATTATTGTGGATTATTTTCAGAACTGGCAGCAAACTGAAAAATCAGATGTCCATTCAGATCTAGAGAGAGGATATTTAAAAAGACTATATACCACTCAGACTGCTTCCTGCCTCCCTCAGGCCTCTAATAATATTAATTATTAATTATAGTTATGGTTCACTAGATCATACTCTGTTTAATAACAATTGCATTTTTAAAACGTAGCCTTTGTTTTCAGATGCAGTTCACTATTTATTCATGTTTGTTATTGTTTTCTTACCTTTTAAACATTTTAGGCGTCTGAGCTGAGTGAAATTAGTGGAGTTTTCCTAATAATATACTGCCCTTTTTTGGCCACCTCACATTCAGCAATCATTCACCTAGATACTGCAAAAAATAGTTATGTGTTCTTACTATTAACTTTAGCAACAGGACT